AAATATTTCTTTAATTTTAATTGCTTTATCTTCCTAATTCTTTTTCTGCTTACATTTTCCACCACTCAGTAATAGCTCAAAGAGAGTATTATGATCACTGAGAATGTGTTTTTAAAGTCAGAGAGAATAACTTAGCATTATTTTCTTGTAAATTATCCAGAGCTCAGATGTAGTAAAAGATGAACACGAAAAATATGCATACATTTTTTCTCTCACATTATTGGAAGTCACAGCTGGCAGCAAATTCAGAAATATTTTCAGTAGTTTCTGCAGTTTAACATTAAATACTAGATCACAGCTGCTCAGGAAGGTTTGTTTTGTGTTTTTATTTTGTTTTATTTTGTTGTTTTTTTCTCCAGGAATAAGCTGAGAAAAAGAAAATGCCTTTAAAACCATTGACATTTAAATATGCTATATTTTTTATGGGAAAAGATAAAGAATAGCAAAATATTTTCCCCATTAAATGTTAACAAAGCAGAAAAGCCTATTGTACAGGTTTTTAGGATCTGAAAAAGTAGTAGAAAAACAGGTAATAGAAAATGTTACCAATTATTTCTAAGCCTGTAGCTCAGAAAGTCCATAAATATCTACTAGCTATAGCTTAAGAAAGTATACTAGATGAGAAGCTCTGCTGCTGTACTGGCCTTTACACTACTGGGCATTGAGGTAAAAATCATCTAAACAGATTTCTGCTGTGCCTGAAATGGCAGTTCTTATGTGATATATTGAATATTATGTATTGAAGCTGTGTCAAGGGAAGTTCAGGTTGGACATTAGGAAAAGGTTCTTCACTGAGAGCGTGATCAGTCACTGGAACAGGCTCCCCAGGGAAATGGTCACGGCACCAAGCCTGCCAGATTTTAAGGGGGGTCTGGATGATGGTTTTAGTCATATGGTTTAGTTTCAGGTAGTCCTGTAAGGGGTAGGGAGTTGGACTCAATGATCCTTATAGATCCCTTCCAACTTGAGACAGTCTAAGATTCTATGATTTTTCTATAGTAATGAATAAACAGTTTTCATTTTTCTCACTTTCTTAGTCTTAGAATATAATTGCATTTTGTTCATATACTTACACAGCTTTACGAAGCATATATAGAATTACGTGAGCTGAAGTCTACTCAAGCCAGTAGAAATACACTGCATTGAGTGGAGATTTAACAAGCCCTTAGGAAACGTAGACTGACAAGTTTCTAATGCATTAGTGTGAGAAATAAAAAGATTTTAAAATCTCTGAAAACCGAAAAGTCAAATTGGACTTTGAGATTATGAAAACACTGTTCAATTAAAGCTGCACAACCTCAGGTGGATGGAACCAACTATTGAAATATAATAGAGAAATTAGAAAAAATACAAACTCCCCCCCCCTATCCTAACTGCCCTCCCACCCATTTATCTAAATGGGACTTATCTAAATTATAATCTCACTGAATAAGCAAATAGCAAACCACTATTGAATGACGAAAATGTCTGGGATATATTGCCTATTTTGAGTGTGCTTCAGTGGGCACTTTGTTGGAAAGAGTGGGCAGTGTAACTCTTTTGCAAGGAATACACTGACTGCATCACTTGCAGTCAATATCGACTTTACACCCTCTCTGATGAGAAAGTATGTATCCCTGACATTAGGTAGGGAATAAATCCTTCTGAGTGTGTGACTCACCAGCTCCTTTACGGAAATGGGCAGAAGAGGAGATGAAAGTAAATTAAAGGCCCAAAGGAGATGTTGTTACCAACTTTCTCATTAATAAAGCTCTTTCTCACAGTGTTTAAGGTGCAAGATCAACTTTTTTCTCTGTGAGTAGCCTTTGAGAGTGGCAGTTCAGTGAGATAATGGGTCCAAAAATAGAAAGCAAAAAATCTTTTTAGGTTGTGATGTTGCAGCGATGGGATCCCCCCCTGTTCCCAGCCAGTGCAGACAATGGACAAAGATTTCTGTAAAAGAACTGCAAAAGTTCATCTTTCATTTTCTCTTTTTTTTTTCTCTTTTCTCTTGACTTACCCAGATGTGGCATTCTTATCACAAAATATCTCAACATTAGAGAACAATGAAGATTAAATTCATGCTGAATCTGGATGAATTCCAAAATAGCAACAAAAAATATTTACCTGCCTCCTTTTTTGGTTGCAAAGTTATGTGCTAACTCTAAGGAATGGTTGCAGTCCTTTAAAATGATATTTAAAGAAAAGGCTTTGTCATTTTCTGCAGTAGGTAGACCAGCACAAAAATCCACAGTAATGATATGATCATGAAAATTTGGATCCTAGACTAATCACAGCCTTTCCACAGGATATTTATTAGTCTTGAACATTTGGTGTCTCTTGGGGTTCTTTGCATCTGCCTCACCATGCTGCGTGTGACACAAAGTCCCTAAAACCAGCAATTGTTTACCATTTGCTGTGGGTACGAATATAGCCACTGAGATTTTAATACCAAAGTCAATCTTGCAACCAAAGAATATTCTACATTTAAGTAAAAATGTTTATTTTATTAATCTTTTAATATCATCGTAGGATAATTTGAGTTGGAAGTGCACTCAAGAGATCTCCAGTCTAACTTGTTTCTCAAAGTAAGGTCAGCTCTGAACTCAGACTAGCATGACCTGACCGTGTCAAAGGGCTTTGTACAATCAAGACCTCCATGGATGAAGCCTGCGCAGGCTCTCTGGGCAACAGATCCACTGCTTGGTCATCCTCATGGTGAAGCGTCTCCTTATATCCCGTCTGAACTGGCCCTGGTTTCAGCTCATGCCCGTTATGTCCCACCATGCCCCACTGTAAAGAGCTTTGCTGCATCTCCTCGATGACCTCCCTACAGGCACCAGGAGCTGCTGCTAGGTGCCCCTGCAGTCACCTCTTCTCCAGGATGAACAAGCCCCAGTCCCACAGCCTTTCCTCACAGGGCAAGTGCTCCAGTCCTGACCATGCTGGTGGTCTCCACTGAACTCCCTTCAGTTTGTCAATGTCTTTCTTCTACGGGAGGGGCCCAAACCTGAACACAGTATTCTAGATGTAGTCTAATAGAGTGTCACGATTTACACATATATATAAAGCAAAGAACCTGTACAGTATCTTGCACCAACCACCATGCACTTTTAAAGATTTTAAAGTGCTGCTTTCATGTTAAAAGAAAAAAAAAAACAAACAGAAGCATTACTGAGCTATCGTTATCATCTTCAAGTGATACTACAAAAAAGTTCACTTTATTACTGAGCTAGTAGTCCTCATTATAGGATCACAGGATCTTTTAGCAATCTTGTGATAAGCCCTATTCTTGAAAGGGCTTATGTGCCAAAAACCCTGCAGATGAGAAGAAAACATCTCCTGGGTATGTGAGAGCAGAGAGACCGGCACATTCTCTACATTCATGTACAAACACAGGAAAAGCTACATCTCAGCAGATGATTCATACCTCTCTGGGATTCACAAATTACACATCTGTTACATGAATTATGTAGCTTACTCCTTGCAGTATGATCCAGTTGATGAAGCAAGACCTAATGTCTATTGGCAACAGTGACATCAGAGCTCAGCACTTTCACTTAAAACCTGACCCACGGGGGACATCACCATTCTTCAGAGGAAATCTGGGGCTGAAGATACATGCATCCTGCACACTCGGAGGCTAAACAGCTCTGCCTGCCTCCAACCAGACTAGGAGGGCTGGAATTTCATGCCAATGCTCTGCCACTGTTCAGAAAGGACTGCAAGAACTGGCAGTGCCAGAAAAAAAGGAAGGCAACCCTGTAGACCAAGAATGCACTTGGGAGGAAGAAGCCTTGATTGTAGCTGGGTAACCAGGATCAAATATTTTGTTCACTGACTTTTAAGTGCAAAATGGCCCTTTCCTCCCATGCAGTCCCCTAGGCATAAAATCAGGCCCTCACTTGTTGACTACTACTCTGGCTTCATGGCTTCTGAATTTGTAATTGCAAAATATCACATCATACAGGCTAAAAAAAGTTTAGAAGCCTCATCCTGGGCGCTTGAATTGCAGTCTACTGTATTGGCTGTACCTCTACGTCACCTCCCGGTTGTGGTTTAAATGAAGCAAGAGAGCCAGTCCACTTAATGAAAAGGAATGGCTTAAGCTTGTAAATGCAGGAAGTATTGCAAGGGGCAAACATCAAAATCATGCACATGCTTATTGAACAGAAGTGAGTATTTGGGCATTTTCTAGTAGATCTCACTAGAGCACTTCAGGATTCAGAATACATTTAAGGTCTAAATACACTACAGACAAGGACTGAAATAACCAGATCACAGAACAAGCATCTATTTGGAACAGCAATTCAGAAAAATACACCTGAGTTTGAAACACTGTGGAAGGGAAAGTAATTCAAGCACATTTCCGATACCCAGATGGCTTATTTTTGTGTGTGCGTGTTTTTTTTTTTTCTTATGTAGTTTTAATTATGTGCAGCCCTCAAGGATTATAATAATCATAAATATTTTCATAGATAAATAATTAAAAGTAAAATAAATGTGAGTCAAACCATCCTTTGGGAAACCTCAAGCTCTGGAGGTGTCACTATTCATCTATTTTCTCATCAAAAACATGACTAGACATTTCTAACAAAATCCATCACCCAGTTGTATGATGAATGAATGCTGAGGGCTGTACTGCCCTAATGAAAAGCAGCATAAATTTGCTTGAAACATTTAAATTCTGATCATAATCATCATCTTTATATATGTAGCCAGTTTTGAATTACTAATGGCAATCACTACTATGCTATAACATTGATGTATATTGGTATTTCATTGTGTCCTAAGCAAAGAGAAATGCTTTCCAGTCAGTATCACCTTAATATCTCCACAAGGAATTAAAAACAACTGTCGCCCCTATTTATAAACTTTGGATGGGTAAACCAGTAGACATAAAAAAACAACCAGCTGAACAACCCCCCGGCATGATAAAAAATAAGGTGCACAATCAGATTTCAATTGTCTAGCAAGTTTGAAACACATTCAAGCTTAAAAAACCCCTGATTTTAGATTACCTTGGATACTCTGTTTGCAACCTCTCTGCCTACTGTCAGCCCCTGAACAAAGGTCCGTGCAGCAATGAACGCTCTAGTCACTTGAACCTTCAGCTTCCTGGGTACATCTCCAAACGGCTTCAGCTGGTCTGTGTATTTGCTTACACACTCCAAGTAGTCCTCAGTGAAATGGTACTGGGGGTTTATGAGCTGGAACATCCGCTCCAGCAGCCGAGCCCAGAAATCGTTCAGCATTTCCTCCAAGTTGACGTTGCCTCCCGTGTAATACCGCTTCAGCTCTGTGAAGAGGTCCTGGAACACCTCAGAGTTTTGCATGTACAGCATGCCATATGTCCGGACAAACATGTCGTTTAAGGATCTTTCTGCATTCTCCAGAAGTTCTCGGAAAAATTCTGCAGGGAAAACAAGCAGCTGTTAACAATATATTAGTAAGATATGAAGGGTTTTCCTATGTTACCATTAGTAAGGTTTGTCTTAATATGTTGTTACCACAGTGCTTTTCTAGTGAAATTATTCTATTTGATAGGAAATAACTTTATTTAGAGGTAAGAAAAAACAGACTATAACCTGAATTCCCCAACAAGGTACAAAGATGTAGAACTTATAACACTGAACAAGAAAAACCCATTTAAAAGAACTTTAGTGAGGGTAGTACCACTCCTTCTTTGTGTACTATTTGAATGTAACAATCCCTGTCCCTTGCAATATCCACCATAGCCAGTATACTAAATCTTCTAAGCTAAAAGCAAAGTTATTAATATGATGATTTAACTGAAAATTTAATTATTTTAAAATAGCTAGATAATGATAAGTTCCATTTTGCTAAAGTTTTCAAAATGTAGAAGAATGCCAAGGAAATAAATCTGAAAACTTATTTGCAAATATGCTTGAACAGAACTTAAAAAAGACCTAAGTGGAAATGAGCAGAATCCCTCTTAAAAGCATTACCTGTCTAATACTAAGAAAATGTTAGTATTTTCAATAATTTGCTACTCTACTAAAGAGCAGTACTAAAACCCTCCACAGTCATGTAATAGCCAGCCTATTAATGCCATTTTGTGCTAGTTGTTGGTTTTGAAACAGACTTTATGCTTTTTTGAAAATATTTTAAAAAAGAAAAATCTTTTAGGATTGGGGCCTACAAGAAAGCTAGAGAGGGAATTTTTACAAGGGCATATAGTGATAGGATGAGGAATAATGGCTTCAAACTTGAAGAGAGTAGATTTAGATTAGATATCAGGAAGAAATTTCTCATTCTGATGGTGGTGAGACACTGGAACAGGTTGCACAGAGATGCCCTGTCCCTGGAAAGGTTCATGACCAGGCTGGATGGGGCTTTGAGCAATATGGTCTACTGGGAGGTGTCCCTGTCCAGGCCAGTGGGTTTGGAAGTAAATTACCTTTTAGATCCCTTCCAACCTAAACCATTCTATGATTCTAAGATTTCAGACTTACTGCTTCTGTGCCTTTTATCTACCCAGGCCCAAACTACAACGTGTTTGTAATTTTGGCTTGTGGAATTTATTCTTACTGGAAAACAAGCCCAGTGGAAATATGCATCATGTGGGAGTTAAAGCATCTTAACAGAGTTAAGATCCTTTAACTCCCACATGATGCTTAGGTTTTCCCAAAAAATTCACTGACCGTGTGCAGTGTTTCTTTAAACACATCTGACAAAAGGAGGCCTAGCTTCTCCTGGTTTTTAGAAGACCCCATCTTCCTACAGGGTGCATTTGTCAAGTTTCTTAAACCTCCTTTGGAAAAGAGTTCAGTGACTCCTGTGGCTTGTAAATGGAGCATCACAGACGGCAAGGCAGAGATGGCAACGCCTTTGGCAAAACACATATATTTGCTGCGATTAAATGATTCGCACTGATGCAGGAATCATCATGCAGCCAACTCTGGGATACCAGATTCTAAATATGTGGTCATTGCCCAGAGACACATCTGCGTGTGCCAACTGCAGAGACCTGCTGACTTCTTACAGTCTTGGCTAATGCTATAATGTGAATACTTGTAACATAGGGCCCTGCTGTGGCTACAGTGACTCATAAAAATGTAGAAACACTCCAATGCTGAAGACAGGATGGCAGTTAAGACTATGTAAGAAAAAATCTACCCTAAATTTGAGGATTTGCAACTGTGATCAGCTCAAAGCAGAATTCACTGAACATTGTGGACCAGTTGCAAGGACTCAATAAGAAAAGAGGCTCTTTTTTTTGGAAGAAATTGTGCAGAGCTGCAGTCTTTGATCTTCCAGATAACTGCAAAGGGGTTATAATGAAAATGTACACACAGAAGACTGAGTATGCGTCAAAGCACTTATTAAAGAGAAAATATATTCTAATAAATGTATAGATGTCTAAACTGTCATTAAAAGCACACCTCTTCATATGGAATAAATTCCACCTGGAAAATAGTATGCTCATGCCAAATAGTTTATGTCAGGGAAAAAAAATATCAAAAAAACCCCACCAAAAAACCACAAAACCCACAACCAAAAAGAAACCCCTGCTATTCTTTATTGCCAAATAGAATAAGATGAGGTCCACAACATACAATTTTCTCTGTGGTTTTTCCAAATTATCCACTAATTCTGAGAAAGCAGTTTTAGAAAAAAAGCAAAACAAAGGTGTTATTCAGCCCTAACTATGACCTGGTGGTATCCTTGATGTCTGGATCATCCTGATTACTATTTTATACATTCAACATTTCTTCTTCTAAAATGATGTATACCAGCTATACTGCTGAATACATCTAGCTCTCTAGTCACACAATCTGAAAGGTAAAAAGATGGCGAAGAACTTGGGACTCAAATGAAAATTTGTTTTAAGGTTGAAGCCAGGCTTTCAGACCTGTGCAATTGGGAATGGCAACTGGGAAAGACAACCATGAAAGCAGTGAATCCAAGCACCTCGACTTCTCACCCATAAGGCTCTGTATGCTGAGGGGCTGCTGTAAGCCATTCACATGCCAGGTCCTCCCAGTCCATAGCTATTCTGGGGATCCCACTGCTTATGTTAAAATATCATGCCAGTCACAGCAAAGCATAACTGAGTTTGCTGACAGAATCCTGTCTGAGATTGTTAGACTATTATTTCTTTGTGTAAGGGTAATATATAGCAATTTCACAGTCAGTTTGTTGAAAACCAACCAAACTTTTCAGGGAGGGGTAGACATGATGCTTGTACATGCTTGTACATGCTTGTACAAAATCTGGCACGATGTGGTCCATGGTCGTTGCCACCTTTATTTATACTGTGGTACAAACATTATCAGTAACTCCACAAACTTAAATTTCATGCTAGTCTAAATGTGACAGTATACATATGCATTTGTTAGAAAAGCTAATGGCCTCTAAATAGCAGTATATTTATTTAATTTTCAGTCTTCTTATAGGTCTCTACAGCTCTTTGAAAGCTATTGCTTAGAGAAAGTCATTATGCTATTAGAAAGCTAAACTGCTGAGTTTTGATACAAAAGACAGTTAGTTTAAGAGAGCTATCTGCATCAGTAACCCTATGCAGGATCAGGATAATAAAGCAGCAATAACTACGAAATTGGGTATCTTCTTTTCAGTTCCAGACAGAAAGAGAGCTCCCTTGTTATACTAATTAGAATAATTCTCAATCAACTCCTGTCCAACAAAATGAATGCTGCTGTGAAAGATCACTTGCTTTTTTTAGTCCACAAACCTTCCATAGATCAAGAAGATCATCCGCTTTGCAATGCTTATGTACAGAAACAATCCTGGCATAACTGGGCACTTGTTCATTTACGTCAAGAGAAACTGTACTTCCTTCCACAAAGGTTGATTTTTTCCCATGGTCTTCACAGTAATTTAAAGATTTTATGTTCATTGCAAGGATGATATTTCATCAAGTTGCAGGTAGCTTTTGAAAAATAATGTAATATTTCAGCTCAAAGCTAAAGACCAAAGATGAGACAGACATTAGTCTTGTTGCTTAATGTGCTTCTAGAAGGCACTCTAGCACTAGGGTGGGAGAGGAGAATCTATATGAGACAGAGCTGCACAGTGTTTTAAAATATATATCTTGTGAATTTTTTTGCTGCCAAAATAGGCTGTCATGAGCAGTGTTAATGCTGGAAATATTTTTTCCTAATTTTAAGTGGTGATTCATTTATATGACAGAATATGTCCTGAGTACGTCTTATGTTGCAAGCACGGTTTTATACAGCTTTCATTTATATAGCCAGAGGGTCTCAGGAAGCCTGTTCAGTTCTGCTTATGAGGTATATGGAAAGAATAAGGTCTAAGCCACGCTGAGCTACTGAGAAGGGGGAAAGAAGAGTGCTATTTCATACCATTATATGCTCTATACAGGTTTAAAGGATGGATTTTTCAGTTAATGGGTAACACAAGCTAGTTTTCATTTTTGAACATTATTTGTACATTTAGGATGCAATATTGATAACAATAGTCTACAAATTGTTATTAAACATTTTGTCTATTATAAGACACCACAATTACAAACTGAAAGGATACATTGCATTGCTAGAGTCTCTTACTGAATGGTTGGTACTGCGCCTAGATTAAAAATAAGGTCTTGTTAGCTTTCACACTACCTTGTCAATTAAAAGCTGACTTCCTCACTCTATTTTAACATAGGTAATCTAGTGTCATAATGCATTCGAGCTGGGAGCTAGCCTAATTCCAAAGTGATGACTAGTTGTTGCCATATGTCAGTGTAACGGGACTGGGGATAATATTGCAGCATGACATGATGTAATAACTGCCTTCAGCAAGATATAATCACAACCATCTAGAGGCAATTATTAGATAAACAAAGTTTTATTATGTTGGAGCTGTTGTTCTATGATCATTCCTAACATGAAAAATTCCCTTTTATTTTCTTTTCCATCTTCAATTTAAACAAAACCAGCACCTGACTGTAAGACAAGATGCAAAGGTAGAGACAATATGTTGTCTGATTCCCAAATGCTCAAGCTTTAAGACCAAAAAAAATTTTCATTTAATCACCATATAAATTATCAATTAATTAATTGCCAATTACCATTCAGCTTTCCTTTTCAGCAGAGCTTGAGATCTGAATGTTGCACTATGGTGCATCTGATACATTTTCACTGCTCTATTTCTGTCTTTCTTTCTTTGCTCATTAAGTCATTCATGAAAAAAAATATTTTGGTGAACTTTTGATCTTTTTTCAGGACTCTTGCAAAGGCTTTTATTTTTTTTTTTTATTTTTTTTTTTTTTTTTTTCCCACAATGGTATCAATTAGTGAAAACTGTGATTTATGTCAAGGAAACTCAAGTGAAATTAATCTCTGTGGTTTCTATGCTTTTTCATTTTCCAACTGCTTTTTTGTAAAGTTTTCTAGAGACTGTGTTCTAACAATAACTATCCTTAAA